TAACCAATTTAGAAGTAGATTCATGATTGATAGCACCGTTCCATTAAATAAAAAAAAAAGTTAAAATTTGTTACCAGCGCTGAGCTTCTCCCCGCAGTGATAATCACATCACGAGAGCTTAGCAGCTTTTATTCGGCGTGATGAATAGGGTTCCTAAAACCATCCCTCCTGATCCCGTGAAACTCGATCAATAACATTCGATAAATCCGTAAAATTTCCCGAGGATGGAACGAGAGCTAGGTTTTGTGGAAAAGCACATAAAGGATAATTGGCGGGTGAATCGAATCTAGTGTAGCTTGTAAGCTCTGCCCAAGAATAAATGGATTTCCATCCATACAAAGGCTGCCCGAGTATTATTTTTCCTCGAAGCAGGTACACGAAAACCGATAGTTACATAGATATCGGTAGACCTTTTGTTCTTTCTTTATTTTGGAGTTTGCGAACAACAAGCAAAAAATGTCAGTACGCCGGTTTGCCCACGGCAAAGGGAAAAACAAGCTCTCTCCGGCAAAACTATTTTATCGAAGAGGGTACACCTATATATACACCGACGCTCCGTATTATATACATTTCTAAACTGCACTAAACCCTCAATCACGCCGCTGACCCGAGTATCTCCGAGAGGAAGTTCAAACTTTCCCTGGGGGCTATAGGTTGAAAAGTTATCGTCACGCTCGAAAAATCCCGAGAAGAAAATATCAGCGTCAGCCAAGTTAGCGCGCCGGAGCGAGAGCGTGAAATTTTACAGGGCAACAGTGGCTCCCCAGAGGAAGCGTTGTAAGTGTGTTTACTGTAGCTCCCCCCCCCCCCCAGACGAGGGAACGAGAAACAATGACACGATATAATATATACACCGTACGAATGCTTCGAGCTTTCACATTCGGAGTTGTGTCAGGAGGGGGGGGGGGGTGTATTTTTCTTTTTTCCAGACACGGGACCGTACGTATAATTTTGCGGGGACAAGCAATATATACTTAAAACGGGAAGAAGGTGGTATAAGGTTACATACCGGGGATGGGAAGCCCCCGTTTGGGTATAAGCTCGCGAGGCCGAGGGATCCAATTTGCCCGTCCTCGTGTATATTTATGGCTGTGCGCGCCAATTGCATAATTTACCGGGGCACTTGGACGAGGCCGTGTGAGCTTCCATCGGAACATTGTTAATTAATGGCAAAATCTGAGATACCCGCGCTGGGGTGCACGAGGGTGTCATAACGCATGCTCTTTACGCTGCCTCCCCAAGTACAGGGACGGTGATGGGACGAGCCTGGAATTTTCCAGGGGATGTGAGCGCGTGCGGTGCACTTGCACGTTTCATCTGAGTTTGTGCTTGCACACGCACGTTTCATAATTATAACGCGGCATCGCTGCGAATGCTGGATAGTGGGTGAGAGAGGCTTCGTACGCGGTTATCTGAATTAGCACCCGCGTCAAGGGGGAAAAATATTGTCACACTCTCTCGTGAAATACGTGTACGTACTTCTAATTGGTGAAAATTTTTCTTTTGCATGAAGTTGCAACAAAATAAAAAGACTTTTCTGTCATGTAAAGTTGCAAAAAAATGTAGTTTTACCATTTAAAGTAAGTATGTTGGACACTAAAAATGGTTATCTTGTTTGTCGTTGTGCGTGTATAGATTAAACTCGAGTGGGTCGATTATATTTTAGTGCACCGCTGTCCAGGGGATTTCGAAGGGAAAACGTGCTGTCCATGTTTTAGTTTGCGATTTGGGAAGGCGGGGATTACAAGTTTTAATGTAAATGTCTTTGAGGGGGTAACTTGCAAGTGGGTGAAAATGAAACTGTGAGTCCAACGTTAGGCAACATTTTTTTTTTTTTATAAAAATTCTTATTGCTTTAAACAGATGTCATCTCCATACTCTTGGTTCAAAAAGCTTTTTTAAACGAAAAAAGGCATATTGTCTCAATTTTCATTGTCAAAAAAGTACTCTCTTAATTTTGAACTTAAAATGGGTGATACTATTTAAAAAAAAAAAAAAAAAAAGAACAAAATTTCATAGAGATGAAATATTTGGCATGAAAATGCATTCGATTACCGATAGCAGTAAGGAAAAAACCAGTACACGTTCATTTGAGAGCTGTTGGTACGAGCCGAGTCCGTTCGATCTTTTTCACGAGCTTAAATTCTCGGGGGCAGCAATAACCGTAAAAACACACGGAGTGGAAGGTGTAGTAAGCGCGAAAGGGATGGTGGGTTGGCGTTTAGAGGAAAAAAAAAAAACGCCGAAATAATTTTTGTGTCGAGCGCCCTTTTTTTCTCTCTTCCACCGCTGTATGAACCGTTGTCTTTTTTGTTCGCAAAGTGCGCGTATTTATCGTACAGCGCAAACTTTTCACGGTAGATTTATCGCGGGTCACTGGGCTGCATAAATACATCCATATATACGCACGTACACACGCGTATGTATGTATACAAATGTATTTGATACGGGTGGCTCTAGGACGCGTGTTTTCCTACTTGCGCGTATCGATCGATGCTGCACGAGCGAGAGAGTTAGCAGACCTCGCCCAGCTCTCTCATACAGAGGAATTTGATTTTTTTTTTTTTTTCTTCCAGACGGGATGCTTTGTCCCAGAACGGATATCCAAAGAATCCTCTGTAAAAAAATAATTCGTACGTCGATTACTCGCTTATAGTTAAAATAAAACTAGATCGGAGCTAGTGAGGGGACACATGCTGCGCTCGAGTATCCATTTCGGAATTCAATTGACGGAGTCACAATTACAGGTAAGATATAGAAACGAGAAGCCGAAAGCAAGCTGACATTTTTGCACGATAGCCGGGAAGGTTTGCCCGTATACTATAACCCACATGATGGAGGGTACAGCCAAGAGCTCTGAGCATATACATATATATACTGGACGGGAGTATGGGGAAGGGAGCTCAACGCAACGGTATATAGGAAGAGGCAATCAAGATTAGGCGACGGCTTATCGGGAATCGAGGGGATTACACCCCATCACGGTTCACCCTCTCCCACTCCGAAGCTCCTACCGAGACACTCGAACTGATGTATGCACTGCATAAAAAAAAAAAAAAAAAAAAAAACAACAACACCTGTACACTCCTGTGCCGTCGGTGTTTCTCTCCCAGGGTACGATCATACGCACCGGCGTTTCCCGTTTTTTCGGCACTTCCCTCCGAAGCTTTTAACGCCCTCGCGTTTTTACCCCACCCTCCATCCGGGGGGGGGGGGGCTCTCGAGCTTTGGGCTCCAACGCGCTTTTCCGCTGATTTATAGAGGAGACCGGCTCGTTATTTGCGAACGGCTTATAAAAACCTCGGGCACTCGGGGGAGCTCTTTCTTTTTTTCTCTCTCTCTCTTTGGTTCCGTTCGCCGATACAGCCCTCGATGCGCATGGCTGAAACGGTGAAAACTGATTACCTATACGTGCACACATACATTGGCCCGTACGTGGTATACTTGAACGTGAATCGCGTAGAGTATACTTACCATACGTCCCCATGCCCGTTCATTTACATTTCGATGAGTCGGAACATTATTGCCTGAAAAATGTGCAAGTACCAAAATAATGCATGCGTAATAGTTGCGTGGAGCTAATTGATTTTTTTTTTTTTTAATTTCGTGTTTTTTTGTTTCCCCTCGAAATCGAGTATACTAAACTTTAAGAAGTAACACGATTGTTATGAAAAATCTTTAAGCAAAGTGGAAGAATCAACACCATACACACCAACAATGAGGTATCGCCGACTTGAGAAAACGTCACCCAATAACCCAAGTGTCGGATAAGATAGGAATATCACCTACCTCATGAGTACAGATACCTTGGACGAGCTTTAGCTTTCACCGTCACTATACGAACGATCCCCCAAAATATAGCCAAATTTCAATACATTCCGTGCTACCTTGGCACAGCGCTCGTGACATCACTTGCACCGCGATAAAAGCAACGCGCAGTTTTTCGGCACACTTTCAAGTCCAGTGGACAAAGGAGATGAACAAGCTCCTCTCGTTTCGGTCCAACAGCTATCGGCTCGCAATTCAACTATTCCCTAAAGCTCGGGAGTGGGCAAACGAGCCAGCTTCGCCCCGAGTATCCTTAAATATGATTCGATGCCGTGGAGATGGGCCAAAACAGCGCTCAAGCCCCGCCACGAGCGTCTTATGCATATATATATATATGTATATATATACCTACACATCGTCTTTGACGAGTCCCGTTCGACCCTGAGAGAGAGCTGTTAACTCGGGGCGACGGAAATAAGTATCCTGCATCGCTTTTTCCACCGCTTCTCTCGGAGCCGTGCAGTTGATGTCGGTCGGGGCGATGCATCGGATCGCTCCTCTTTGAATTTGCTTTTTGCTTCGCCGGACTGGAGAAAGAGTTCATACCGCGATATATCGCGTAAGTTAGTCGTAGACGAGGTGCAGGCCGCTTATGGCCTTTTTTTTTGCGGAACGAATCGGGGGTGGGTTTCTCCAAAAGCTACGGTGTGAAGGTGCGCGTTGGAAGAAAAAAACGGCGAGGTAGAGGTGAGAGGAAAGGGAAAAAATAATAACAAAAGGGGAGGGATTTCATTTGCGGATGAAAAACAGCCGCGAGGACGAAAAAGTCACGAGAGGGTGGAACACGGACAAAAAAAATTCGCTCCCCTGTCCTCGGGAGATTTGTACAGCGCTGCGACTCATACACGGAAATGGTTTTGAACGTCGCGAGACAATCGCGTTTATGCCATTATCGATAAATGGTCGACATAATACGAAAGTCGAGCAGGACATGGGTTGAAGCGCCAGTCAAAGTATGAAACTCTATGGAGAAGTAAGTCCTTTGATGTCCATGTAGGAGCTTTTTTAGTAAATCAAAGTAAGACAATCGCCTTATTGATTAAAAAAAAAAAAAAAAAAAAATACAGCAAAGCCAATCATTTATGCTGTCACGAGGAAAATAACGTAAACACGCGAAGCTCAAGTGCACGTAACGTGTAGTGCTGTACAAATATTATGGCTATACTTGTCATATGGTAGAGAAAGTTACAGTGAGACAGAGAGACAAAAGGGACCTGGTCGAAGTAGTGGGAGTCATTAGTAGCAATAGCGTAGCAAAGCGGAGAGCACGACTTTTCGTTAGCCGCACGTTTAACCCACGCGTGACTGCTGGTTTTACTCCTGAAACGAAGAAGAGTACACGTAATAAATTAGTTCCAAAGTATTTGGAATAAAGAGAAATAGAAAAAAGGTGACGCTGGGGGGCAGTGCTCTGCAAAGTGTATATAGCCACGGTCCCGATGACGCGCTCATGAGGAACTCGGAGATTCTCCCTTTTGCCGTTTCTCCGTTGTAAGTATGCGTATACACGACACTTTTTTCTCATTTTTTAAATACATAATAACACACATATACAACTAATGACTGATTGCCAAATACGGTATATCACCCATCCCATACTATTTTTGTACTACATTTCACTAAAATATTTTAGCGTTTACTTCTATTGCAACCGAGACCTAGGCATTTTTGGCATAATTATACTACACTTTAATCGTTTACTGTATCCACGCATTTTTGTTTGCTTATATGTGTTTTTGTTTTCCTCGTTTCTTCATCTTCTCTCTGATCATCTCAGTTTGTCGACACAAATAATTAGGCATCGTTCGTATTTTCAGTAGCGCTATTACAGATTTGTTATTACTTAGATACCAGCAATCACGTGATTATACAAATTTCATTGCTCAATTGAAATAACGACACAGCTGAACTTTGTACAACTAAAATCTTGGTGTGAAGGTCAAAGAACGAATAATGCTGATGTAACGTTTATTTACATCGAGTTCCCCTGCGTCGTTGTTTCGAGAACGACATTTTGCGAGGTGAACTTTCTCCTGTGTATTTTTACTCCCAACGTACCAGTCTAGATTTTTTTATTTATTGTTTTTGAAAAAGTGAAAAAAAAAAAAACTGTCTCGTTCGTATCTATAAACTTAACAAAATTTTAAACGACCCACAAGACAAGCAACCGATTTTCTATCCAGTTTATTAAGTATAGAAATCTCATAGAATCATCGTATTAAATACATGCTTTTTACAGATAAAAACGAATAAGTGTTAAATAACAAGTGCTCCACGAGAAGAATAAAGTCAACAAGATGAAGTCATACGAGGCAGCGATTTCCCATTTGCGCCAAGTGATGGAACGAACGTACGCCGTACAAATGAACGAGCTCCGGTCGTGCCTACGTGTAAACACTAACGGCGATTACTACTTCAGTGTAAAGGCAAGTATCGCGATAAAATGATGATGAGCAATCTAATTTTAAGTGTTAAATTTTCTGAAGTAAAACTTCCATGCAGGCACGTCTATCGCTTTTGGGTTGTTTAAAAATTAATCAAATGCAAGATACTGCTAGGTATCATGGTAACAAGAGTCTTTCTCAATCTCCACCCTGCACTGTCAGATAGTACAAACAAAGAAATAAACGGGGATGAGACAGCATGCAATAAGATGTTGAAAACAAATTATTCTCAGAGAAAATAAAATAGTCAAAATAACAAATCAAAGTTTCACCGATTAACACTTTACTTCATAATTATTTTTCTAAAAAAACTTTTTGATTATACTGGAGCTTATGTAGTTAAAATTTACATACACAACACTTTCAAATATTAGTATCCATCTGAACTGTTGGTTTTATTTTTTATTTCACGCTATTTTTTTTTTTTTTTTTTTTTCAATTATACAGCGAACCAAAAACCTTGTGTTGTCTTTAAAAATGCATGTTATCACTTACTCCAGAAATCGTCATGGTTTTTGTTGGATTAAAAAAAAAAAATGATTAAAATAAGGAATGAACAAATTAAGTGCTTGAAAGAAATACTCAAATAAAAATAACTTAAAAACTGTATGTAAATGCTCAGTCGTAAGACCAAAAACTATAGAGAACAAAAAATTTTGACGAGTTTAAAAACAGTAAACTTTTCTTCGTAAACAGAGACAAAATATTGAAAACATGGCAAATATACATATATGTCAAGAAGAACCTCAAAATTTATGGGCACCCTTAGGGATGGGAGGTACACCCAGTGGTTTTCCAATGGGGCATCACCAGCTAGCAAGACAACATCATGAATGGCACTGCCCGCTTTACTCACAACCTTATGGCCCATTCATGACGGAGCTTCATGGACAACAAACACCCACTTGTGTCAATTGTAACAAGGGACATATATTCACACCATCAGCAACCGCTACTCAAACACGTGACGAAAATGCACCCAATTTAGCATGTTTCGCCTCGGGGGGCGACTTGAATAATGTCACACATAACCAACACACGCTTGGAGGACCATTTCGAGGATCAACAAGTGCATTTAAAACGTAAAAAAGTGTTATAGTATAATGTAATTCTGCGATAAAAAGATCATTTGGTAAACTAATAAAGAAAAAAATTATGTTGATAGCTACTTGGCTGGCGATGTTGGCAATGGTAGCAATCACGTAAGTTACACGTTTTAAAATTTATTTCAATCTTTTTCAATAAAATTGAAAAACCAATACGTAAATTTAACTATTATAACTATTGTCAGAACATTGGAGAAGCAGCTTCACTTGCACAGGGTAACAGTGGCGATGTTTGTGGCAATTATGTAAGTGATGTACGATATTTAAAACTCTTCGGACGTACGTTTATGACTATACAATCAAGAGATTAAACATTAAACATACAATTGAAAAAAAAAATATTCCAGAACTATAACGGGCAAACTTTGCCCCCAGGAGGCGAGGGTATCAGCAGCAATAACAATGTAAGTAATAAGTTTTAAGTTATTTCACACATTTTAGTAAATAATAAAAAGACAAATTATTTTTTAAATATATAACTGGTAACAATAATATACATTTTCAGAGTGGTGTTGAGACAAATTTACTTCCAGGAGCTGATGGACTCGACGGCAGTAGCAATGTAAGTAATATTCTTAAAGTTATTTGTCTATAATCAAAAGACCAATTAAATGTATGATTATTAAAAAAATACTACAAATTTACAGAATCATGACGAGAAAAATTTACCCTCTGGAAATGAGGGTATCAGCGACAATAGTAACGTGAGTCATAAGTTTAAAATTATGTATTTCACATGTTTTCGTGAATAATAAAAAGACTAATTATTTTTTAAATGTATAACTAACAAACAATATAAATTTTCAGAATTGTATCGAGACAAATGTACTCCCAGTAAGTGGGGATATCGACAGTAGTAGCAATGTGAGTACTTATTTAGTTATTTATGTATTATGTTAAAAGACCAATAATATAATGTAGAACTAATAAATGATAAAAAATTACAGAAGTATGACGAGAAAAACTTACTCCCAGGAGGTGAGGGTTCCGGTGACAGTGGCAACGTGAGTCACATATTTAAAATTATTTTTTTACGTATACCAGAGTATAAACAAAAAAGCAGTTATTGAACAGCTGTTGATAAAAAAAAAATTTCAGAACTTTAACGGGCAATATTTACTCCCAGAAAATGAGGATGCCAATAACAGTGGCAACGTGAGTAATACGTTTGAAGATATTGCACGTAAAGACCAATTATTAAATGTATAACTGACCAATAATAAAAAATTACAGGACAACAGTGAGGATAATTTAATCTTAGAAGATGAGGATACTCGTGCTAGTGGTAACGTAAGTTATATTTTCAAAGCTATTTTACATAGACTGAAATATAATCAAAATAGCATTTCTTAAATGTATAAATGACAAATAATAAAAAATTCTAGAACTTCGACGAGAAAAATTTACTCCTAGAAAGTAGGGATACAAGCAACAGCAGTAATGTGAGTAATGTATTTAAAGTTATTTCGGATATTACCAATCAAAGGACTGATTAATCATAATCATAAAATGTAAAATGATAAAAATTTTTAGAATATCGGGGATGAACCTTTACTTTTTGAAAGTAACAGCAGTAGTGATGGAAACGGTGACGATGGCAGAATCAGTGCCAACGACGTAAGTCATACATTAAAAAATATTATTACGTATTTTAAAATTTATTAACTATAAAAATAACAAACAATGATGATTCTTAGAACACAAGAGAAGCACCTGCACTGAACCAAGAAAATAATGCCAATTATGGAGGTGGTGACAGTAATGACAATTACGTAAGTCTAGTCTCATAAAATATTTATATATTTTTGTATATAATTAAAAACGAGTTGATGAATCAAATTAAAAAAAAATTATTCTACTACTTAGAACTTTGGACAGAAGCCTTTGCCCTCAGAGAAAGACGATTTTTGTCTCAGGGATGACTTTGTAAGTTACGTATTTTAAAGTTATTTAATAAATATTTGCATACCATCACAAGTTAAAGAAATCAATATGAAGTTAGTAAATAATTGCAATTTTCAGAACATTGGAAAGGCACTTTTACTTCTTGACACTAGCGGTGACATGGAAGGTGGTGGAGTCAATGGTTTCGGTAACTACGTACGTCAAATGTTTCAAAGATTTCTTTATACGTTTTTTTAATAAAATCAAAGACTTATAAGTAATACGAAAATTTCCAGGACATTGGTAAGTCACCTTTACTATCAAGAAATGTCGGGGATGGGGGCCTCATCGGTGATGACTACGTGCGTAATACATCGAAATATCTTTATTTTTAAACATTTTCACACGATTGACAAACTCATTTAATAAATACCAAATTTTTAGAACATGGAAGATCTATCATCACAATCGGGTGATAACCGTAACGTCAACGGTGGTGCTGATTGTGCGGGTGGCAACTACGTAAGTCGTACTTTTACAAGTCTCATTTCGTACCTTTGTGTACGGATACAAAATCAATCCATGAATGACATTAATGGCCAATGAACATTTTTAGAACGTTGGACAAGCTTTTCTATTTGCAGGAGATGGTAACGGAGGTAGCGGTGATTGTGGTGTTGGTGGCGGTGTTTACGTGAGTCATTTATCATAAAGTTTCTCCACGAACATTTGTACACGAAATAATAGACCAATCAACAAGTATGACATTAATAGATCGTAATGATTTTCAGTATACTGGAGCGGAGCCTTTAATCTCCAAAAGTAATACGAATGAAAACGACGTAAGTCATGCATAAAAAAGCATTGTCACGTATATTTGTGAACATGTTGTACAAGTGAATGTGGTAAATATTAAATTTACACGGGATAAAAAATTTTAGAACAAAGAAGCGCCATCTCTACTTCCATATGACTATTTCGATGTAGATCGTTACTACGATCCTTTTAAAACACCGGAAAAGGTAGAGCCCAATGACACCCAAGACTCTAACATACGGCAACTAAAGGAGGTACGCTTTAACTATACAATATATTACAGATATTATACACTTCGATCATCATCATCATCATCATAATAATTATCATCTTAAATCAACACCATATTAAAATTCAGTATGAAAATTTAAACAAATTGTAAATCCAATCAAGTTGTACTGCTTTTTAAGCACTAATGCAAGAGATCAATGTTATACACATGATTTTTTTTTCACAGCTGGATCTTGAAGAGCAGGAGATATTGAAATCCGATGCCACAGAAATAGCAGTGGAAAAGATTAAGTACGAGAGTGCAATCGAGCTTCAAGACTTGTCCGAAAAACAGTTTAGAAAATTGGCTGCCAAAAGAAGGCAGCGTCTGGTGAGTATATACATTGACAAACATTGCTATTGTTATTTTTTGGAAAACACCTAAGTTAAATTGACTAATTTGTTTCTCATAGGATAAAGTGAGGCCCAAATTTCTGAAAAACGGGCCCCACAAAGTTTACCAGTCGTACGAGATCGACGCCATAAGCAGACACTCTATTCTATCGTTTAGAATGAACGATTACAAAAAAACGTGTTACAGCGGCAAAGACGCTCCCAAGATTAACAAAAGGTCTTTCAAGTCGTGCGAAAAGAAGGCCAGGAAGATCCTCACGCACCCACCCATTGACGAAGTGGTCGAGTACTTGGTCGAGCTCGCCAATCAGCCAGACGCGATCATCAAAAATTATTCTGCCCAGGAAGCGCTCGAATTGATAACCCACGCGAGAAATCAAAGGAAACATAAACCATCGACAAAACGACGCGTTGTCTCCTAATTTTTATTATTTTGCTTTTTTAATCACCTGTATGTCTTGCACAACAACATTTGTACTTTTTAGCTAGTTCCGTCGTTACTATACCACAAATATTGCTGTTTTAATGTATAGGAGCACCATATTTTACTTTGTACATGCTTTTAACACTATAAATGCCCGTTTTTACCGTGACTGACTACGAATACGTGGCTGTAGTCTGGCAAAAAATGTAGCTTTTTTTAATTTCAATACTCTAGTATTGAGATCGTGGGGAATCACAAACTACCAATGATTCCCTTAGATTTTGAAATGAGTTTATGCATGGAAACAATTTGTTGTTGTTACTGTTACTCATAAGTAAAGTTGAAGGAAAATATAAATGTTTTTTAGAGACAGGTTGGTAGCCCTTGGACAATAGACTTCTTTTGCTTTACTCGTTATTTATTCATCACACACGTCCCCCAATGTCTTCAAATGTTTATACGAATAAACGAATCAAAGAACAGAGATCGAGATGTAATTTTGCTTTATCCCAATTGAATGACGAGTATCACTGTATTAAATCCTGTATTCCTGCCAGCAGCCTCTTTCTATCTTGGCATAGAGCCAACGTTTTGGTTTCTCAACGTTCCATAACCGAGGAAGTGTTAGTCAAGTGAATGAACGTGATTATTTTATATATTTACAAAAAGGTTTTTACATGATTAACTGTAAAATGATGATTTACGATTTGAAGCGTCATAGTAATAAATTTGTACTTTGTAATTTGCTGTGCCAATAAATTGATACATCCGTATAAATAATTTTTTTTTTTAATACTTTTTCTTTGGCAATTTTAACACTTTATAATATAAGTCTTGATTAAGTATAAAAAAGATTTAAAAGTACTGGTAAAAACAGTTGTTGTGCTCCAAGTCCATGATACGGTACTATGTCATTGTTGAACAAAAAGATTCGAGTTTATGTTTGTTTATTTCATAGCTTTAAAGGAACTATGGTGGTTGCAAAGAACTAGGCTTTCGATTGGTGTGGCTTGTAAATTGGTTAACAAGAAAACGTTGAAAAAAATCAACGGCGTGACGCTGAAAACCCTAACACAAGAAAAAAAAAAAAAAAAAAAAATTAGCTACAGTAAACCACGACTAATTAACACTACAGCCAGGTATAAAGCTGAAAGAATATTAAACACACTTAATAAGTTTCCCCCTGGTCTAGCCAGTGTACCATTGAAGCCGCGATTCCTAAGACTAATTGAAAAATTAATTAATCACGTCCGGGTTAGAACCTCCCCTTCCGATATCCACGAGCGGAGCAGCCCAACTTATAAATTGCCTAGTGAAACTTTCGAGAGGAGCGCGGGGCGTATCGGTCCGCATAATTAAGTCCACTAGAAGAAGATCTCCAAGACCTCGCGGGGCTCTGTACTCGAGCTCATCGCAATCGACCGACGGCCGGCCGTTGATCTAGCGGGCCCCCGAGCTATATGTATATATATATATATAATTATGCATGCTAATGCAGAAACGGACGGGCAAGCACGAGGTGTATGTGTATGACAAGCGGAGATGGTATAATCACCGCGATAACACGGACCTCCAAGCTTAAAGGGTCCACGGGGTATGAGAAGCGTCACCCGCCCACACGATCCTCCGATCCCCAAAATGCAATTTAATTCGAAAAAACCACCGTGGGGTGTACATATATGTGTACCCTCGATACCCCGATATTGGATGAAATTACGTCAAACGCTGTACGAGGCGGAGGGAAGAAAAATCGCAAATACCTCCGACGCGCGGCAACTAAACGTCGCGCGATAACGGTCGCGTATTGCGACAGACAGGCTCGCACCCCAAAGCCGTTGTACGTGACGCGGACGCGGGATCGAGTTACTCATAAATTCCCAGTGGCGATAAATTTCGATTAATACCCCGGCCGTACAGGCGTGTATACACGCGCGCTTGGGGATACGTGGATTTACAAGACTGTATACAGCGGCCGTACCGTCGGATGGTATCGATTTTCGATCCCATGGCTTGTTACAGCGGCGTCGTCCGACAAATATAGAGCCGGCGGCCTTTCCACCAACGGAGGAACTTTGTATTTCCCCTCGTTGCTTTTGACGAACGCCGATGGCACGGTTGCCCCGAGTGCCGCGGTGGCGAATTTAAGAATTTAACACCACACGGACGAGCTGGGTATAATAATACTCTCTGCGTGATTATCGAGCAGCGGGCGCATCTGAATTTCAATGGGGTCCGAGCACGCCCAACTTTTCGGAATGTACGTATCCACTCCTCGTCCAAGTTTTTCGTACACCCGCGAGAACCACGGTATATATTATAATCAGTGAAGTTTGCCGGGGATGGTAATTTTTCGCGCAACGCAAACACGAGACTTTGAGAATAGAAGAGGGAGGAAGAAGCGAAAAGAGGATCAAATCGACGTTTCGCTCGTAAGTACATAAGATACATTATTCGGCGCAGGCTAAATGTTTTTCTCAAAGTTACAACGTAAGTATTATTATCATCTTGCACCGAGTGGGTATAATATTCATGTGGGCCTTTAATTTTGTGCTCGATCGAGATATATGTTGCCGAGCGAGAGACTTTAGCGTATTTTCATTAGAATAAGTATTTCTACACGGAGTCGCTCGAGTATGGCGTGCCAATCATAAATGATGTTAAACTTGCTTTATAAGAGTCGCGTAGATGATGGTTAGCGTAGGGGGTACGAGGGTATGCGCGTTGGACGAACTTTGTAAGCTTTTCGGGGTAAGGGATATTATACTTTTGTGAGTTGTCGAGGTGAAAGCTCATTTTGCCTGCCGATGCCGGTGTGATCGCGAAGCTGCTCGATTTATCGGATCCGACGAGATGGAGGAGAGATGAGAAATGCCGTAATCATACAACGTATACATATAGATAGGTATCGCTCGTGTTTCGATCCCTCGAGGCGCCCCGAGTGCAATATTCTTTGCCTCGTTTCTCGTGTTGATTTAAAGCGTTTTCATTGGCTTGGGAAGATGAAATTCGATGTTTTTTTCTTTTTGTTCTCCTGTTGTATTGTTTGGCGTGATTTTTTAGACCACAATCTAAATCGAGAACCTGCTTTGGCGCTTAAATCGTTTTACCGATATTTTTCCACCTCATACGTAGTATTGGGCACCTTTCCCATCCCAAGCATATCAAGGAGCACTACTTCATAAACTTCGATGATGTTTTTTTTTTTCCTTCCCCAATAACATGCCAGTTTCATACCCCATGTAGGTAAACATAAGAACGCAATTGAGCGAGCACGAGTGCATTGCATATAATAGGAGGTATGTCGAGCCACTGCACAAGCCTCTCCATGTACTTCACATCATCCAACTTTACACGGCAAACCAAATCATATAGTATAGAGTCGTATAAATTCGCAAACCAAGAAGTTGGGAGGCACGCGTATACACCACTCTGATCCTGTATAGTACACGCGTGCGCGCGAAGCACATTACACCCATTGCATATATGAGTAAATGTAGTTAGATTCGGCAAGCAAAAAACTTGAATCACGTATGCATACACGGCGTATATAGGCGTCGCGGTCAGTTGGATCGTGATGTATGCATGTAATGTACATGACTGCGTGTCGTATATTTTTGTACCTGCACATGCATTTGCTCTTACAATTTAGAGGGGGCTTATTTTGCGCCGCTTTACGTATGCAAGCCTCGAAGATGGTTCATACATATACTGGCCGCGCTATGCGGCAGCTGCACAACGTGCCCTGCTGGTCGTTACTCCTCTTCTACCCACTTGGTACTTTCTCATCTCTCTCTCTCACCCCTTTTTTTTACAGTGCTACAGATCCTCGGTTAGGTTGTCGATGTATGCGTACGTACGTACTATTCACCTATTCCTTTACGATTTTCCTTACTGGTGTACATGGTGCACATGATATAAATTATGTGCTCTCGGGCTGCTCGGCCTTGCGGGACACGTATACCCATGCAATTCCGATTATATACCATGCTCACTCGGTATAAATTTGTACTTGTATGATCGTAGCGAATTGATTCGTTTTTACAATTGATATTCGCGTACACGCGGTGCAAAATTCAAGTAATACCAAGACAGTAGGTAATGCTGTTTTTAACTTATTCAATTGCATATTTTAACACATATTTTTAAAGTAGATGTATTTTGCCAGTTTGATGCAAGCAAAAAAGGCATCAAAAAGTCATCAAAACTGACATCATTCTTCCGTATGAGTGAGTAGAGTCGATGTTTTTCTCTTTTTTTCCAGAGTTCCCCCATGGAAAAGAAATAATATACTTGGTAATGTCTGACCAAAGACGTACTTTACTACTTACGCGTTGCTATTGCGAGACGAGCATTTTGGAATACATATATTATATTGGGAATGCCCATTAATTTGACCAATTTTTTCCAGAGTTCCCCAATGGAAAAGAAATAATATACTTGGTAATGTCTGACCAAAGACGTACTTTACTACTTACGCGTTGGTATTGCGAGACGAGCTTTTTGGAATACATATATAATGGGAATGCCCATTAATTTGGTCAATTTTTTCCACAGAGTCCCAGAATCGAAAAGAAATAATGTACTTAGGTAATGTCTGACAAAAAACGTATTTTACTACTTGCAGTATTATTTTTGCTATACCACACGTAAGCAGCAAAGTCTCCGGGACGCACTAGTCGCGGCAAAAGCAATTTGGGTAAGTTCTTTCGAGGCACAATTCGGCCAGCCGTGCCGCAAAACCTTGTCTTCTCTCTGCTCTCTTCTTGGAGTCGGCAGCACTTGATGCTACACACTTGGAAGAGAGAGGGGGAACAGGAGCCGAAGAAGTGCTCAAGCACGAATACAATTACGCGGAAAACTTGGGAGAGCTACGGTAGCGTCGACGAGCGAGTCTGCCCGCTGCTGTTGCATCTCGAGAGTCGCTAGTCAAGGCTCTCGTCGTCGTCTTCGTGCACTGTACACAGGGGGTGCTGCGACGCGTACGAGGGGGACGAAGGAATATGAGAAAGGCTGATGATACTTGCAGCACGTGCACGCGAAACCAGAGCAAGCAAGTTACGCGCTGCACGCACCAGCTGTCACTCCAGTGCTACATTTGTTAGGAGTACTAGTGGTACGAGCAGCCAAAAAATAGTGGGGAGTCCAAAAAAAAAACGAAGAGTTAGGAAATTTTCTCTCGCCCGCAGCATTTTTGACTGAAAGGTTTGCACTTGCACGAATGTGCACGAATCTACGTACGTGTATTTGAGTTTGTTTGACGCCACGCGACCGAAAGACACGCTCGCATTCAAAGAGGCCATACAAAAACTATTAGCTATATAATACATACTGAGAGCGCAAAAATAGTGCTTTTGCGATTTCACGTCCCTTGGTTTTTTGTAAGCTCGTATAGGTGGTTTTCTCTGCAAGCTCGACTAGAGCTGCGTTCGTCCATTGGGGTCAAACCAATAGATAGCGATGATGCATCAAGCTGAATTACGTCAT